TAAAGAGCAGCAGGAGAGTCCTGTGAGAATAGGAATACTGACAAGGTGGGATGCTCAGATTTTGCAGCAGTGAGGGTCTGGATACAACTATGCCCTTTTTGTGTTCTCAGAAAATCCACCTCTGTTCCCGTATGTAAGTAGAAAGAATGGCAAAAGCAGGCTTTGTCTACTAATGAAAAGAGTCTGTGAGAGCCCTAGGTTTGCTGAAATAAGATGCAGTTACACCAACAAATGAATCAGTATAGCTCTTATGATGCACAGAGTGTACATAAAATGCTACTTGCCAAACACTTTATTGGTACTAAACTAAGCCCTATTGTAAATGTTGTCAATGTGCATTTGTATATTTTCCTTTACTTGGTGACATTTTTTGCATTTTATAGATTGAAATTTCACATTTATAAATAAAACACTTTCAGAAGTGTATCATAACTATAAAAATATGTACTCGCTTCATAATTATGTAAAAACTTTGAGAAACCATTTGAGTTTGCTATGAACACGAGCACGATAATGCACGCGGTTTAATCAATATACCTTTCAAGGGAGCCTCATTTGAGGTAATGCAAAAGCCCTATCTTGCAGTCAGTAATAAATATTTCATTAAATTATCTCAAATTTAACTCTCACTCCCACTGGCAAACCTCTAGTGGTACATAGTTCTTTCCTCTAGATTTTATTGCCCTGGTAACATGCAATCATCTCACAACCCTTTGCTTTCTCATCTGCAGTATATTGCCTTGCTTTAGATTAATCTCACAGTCATTATCTCACTTAAGTAGGTAATATTTGACCATCTAATCAGCTTAAAGAAATTTGAGTAGAATAATACGGGCTTATTTTTAGCATTCAGAAATATTTTTGAAACAATGAGAAAGAGATTTGTAAAAAAATACATGGTCTAAATTATTCTTTTTGTGCATGGAAACGCACACTGCATTTACTGACATAATTAAATTGCCTGTGTATCTGACTTTTTAATAATGAAAAGGGAAACCCTAGAGTGCTTGGATAATTTGCTGTTTTCATTTAAAGCATGGAATTCAGTGGTACCTATTGAGGCATTTAGTCTTCCTATGCACTGCAAACGCAATTGAAACAGTGCCATAGCTTTCTAGAGTGGCAGTTTTTCTAATTTCACCGATTCAAGTGCTCTTTTTCAATGCTTGCATTTGTATCTGCTAATTAAAATGAAAAGTTATGTTTACCTTGTCCTCCCCCGATAAGAAGAATAGTATATTTGAATGCCAACTTGCAATTTTTGATAGTCAAATAACACTTTTTTTTTTTTTTTTCAAGTCTATATTATTTTTTGTTGGCAGATAGCAAAGGCTTCTGAGTGTGCTTGGAAATAAGATTTAGATCTTGAAAATTATGAGCTAATTATCTTGAGGCCAAGATAGCAGTGCTGTATCGTCTGTGATCTAAAATGAATTGATACTGAGGTTAATCTGCAAGGGTTTAGCTACCTGCTAGTGTTTGCAAAAAGACCTTTGCCTTGCTTAGGCTGTTGTTTAGGTAATATGCATTACTTAAGATATCTTTTCAATTCTCTATGTAAAATCCGTCCTCTAGGAACCTTAACTTCTCATTCCTTTCACATTACCCAGTCTCAGCTTCTTCGATTTTTACCTCATTCACTAGATGCTATCCATCTTCTCCAAAAATATGTCAGTATCATTTCATGCTATGTTTTTGTGCTTATGAGTGGCTAAGCTTGTTGTAGCTGTTAGCTTGTGTTAAAATTAATAAGAATCCAGGAATTAAAAAAATGTACATCTAGATATTTATTTGAATATAAAGTTCAAATTGGCCTGGAAGTTTACTCCTGTCAAAATCCTGGGTGAAAAAGATAATCCTCTAAAACCAAAAGCCTTATCTCCTTTAGCTGCAATTTCCAGCACTCGCATAAAGCCCTCAGGAAACGTGCATGGCAGCAGTGCAGTAAGCCATGAATCCCACTGGCAGTCCTCCAGCTATCCAAAGAAAAGTATGACTGACTTTTATCTATTATTCAATATTGTGGTATGGTGAGTTGCTAAGTCTGTGGTCTCTTCCTGTCTTTATTCCTTTTTTTTGGGGTGGGAGGTGAGGATGGAGGTGGTGGTACTGTAGCACACATTCTGGCGTTAGCACTTACTACATACATAATCTCTAGATTCAGAAATAGATGGGGAAGTATTGCAAGATTTTCTATTCCTATCTGGGTCTGTACAAACACTGTTACCCTTCTTTCTTCACCAAGATTCCTTCATAACCCTCTTATTATACATTAACTTTGCGTTAAACCCAGGGAGAACACTCCAAATCCATTATTAGTTACTGCTCTGAAGGACAGCTGTTTTAATTTCCAGTTCATTGGTTATCCCAAGTACATAGCACTGTATTTGAACCCTTTGGTTATAAACAGACTCTAACTATTCCAAGCATGAAAAACTCATGAGTAAAACATAGATATAATTTGAATGCAAAGTTAATGCTTGGCACTTGTTTTCACAATTCAAGCATGGAAGACAGGTCACAGAAAAAGCATATGAAATCTCTCTTCATAAGGGATAGATGGATAGAAAGATCAGTATTGCTTTTTATGACTGAGTTTTTGAAAAAAGGCAAAGGACAAATCCATGCAGTAAAAAACTAAAATACGTCATGGACTTAATTTGGATGCCATAACTTTTAGAATGTTACTGTAGGAAATACACTACGGCTCATACATATTGTTCTGTAACGTGATTTCAGAGCCCGGTACCTGTTGGTAGAAAGGCAGTTTACTGTTACAGCTCCTTCAGTTTCCCAAATAAGGTGGCATGTGCAATTCAAACATACAAACATTCCCAAAGTTGTAACCCTAGTGGAGGAATGTTTGACTCTTTGGATTTAGGTCTGTTGTGTCTGTTGTAAAGGAGATGGTTTAAACGTGACATCTTCAAAGATGATGCAACCGATGCTAATTGATAGGAAAAAAACTGATCTAGCCTCGTGACTTGTCTGCAAGGTACACTGAAAGAAGAAACTGCAAAAACATCTCGGTGCTACAGAATAAATAAACAGTTGTATGTTGAGGAAATAGCAATGCAAACCACAGGAAAGAGTGTGTGAAGAAGAACATGAAAACTTTTCTCATGTACAAATACAATAGAAGTAGAGAATTCAGAGAATAAATCTGTCTTCGTAATAACAAATCACTGGTGTGTTTTGGGTTCCTTGTGATATTTATGTTGTCACAGTATGCTGCCATTAAAGTTATGAATCTGTGTTTTGTTTGTGATGTGCTTAAGCTGAAGTGTTGGCAGTTTCTCTTGGGAGTTTTACCACTCTTACATATTCTCTGAAGAAAACGTGGTCTGAAATGCAATAGCTCCCATATGTATCTGGTGATGGTGATGTGGAGGCACTGTTTGTTCCACTAGATGAAACGCGTATATTCTGTGTCAGTTTAGTTTTCAGACACTGTGGGAAAAAAAGGAAGAATGGGTTTTTGATTTCTTCTTTGTAACGTGGCATCGCTCATCCTCTGGTGATGTTATTAAAGAACAATGTTTGTACTTCTCCTGGACCTGAAATTAAATATGTCAGACCATTAGAAGTTGCTTGAGGCATTTTCATATTCATTTATTCCTGAAAGGGAAGTCATTTTGCCAACACATAGGCGTTTAAAAGATTACTCTCACTTCTTGCTTAGTCTCTGTATTTTCAAGCTTGTGTTTCTTGACCCTGTCCTGATGCTGTTATTTGGAATGAAACATTCTACCTGTGTGCTAAAAATAATTTTTATTTGATAGCTTGGATTCCGTTAATGAAGCATAATGAGGAAGATAATTTGATGTCTCCTGATTTCTAACGTCTTCTTCCATTCATTATCCTTTTTTGATATCCACTGCATAGGAAGATGCCTCCACTTCCAGGTGTTTCTATATTAAATTCTTCCAGGCCAGAGAAAAAGCACAAGTTATCCCAAATGCTGAAAGTTCTCAACTCATTATCACATTTTACATATCGTATGGACGTACTGACAATGTTAATTAGTGAGAAAGAGTTGATTGTTCTTTAATTACTTTGCCGAGAGCTGGTACAAACTATAAAACCACAAATTATGTGACGTATTATAAGTGGATTGACTTTAATGGTATCTTCATGTACCGGCATGCATATTTCATTACTAAGCTTTTAGCTTAGTTATTAGCATTTTAACATGACCATTAATAATACAAGTGCTGGGTTATGTACATGAAGGAATTGTTACTGCAGAATTTTAAAAAGCACCTGACAGGGTGCTGCACTTTTTTAGCGTGTTGCAAAATTCCAAATATCAGCATCAGCGCAGGACATGCAGGTTGCAGAGCTCTTCCAAACTCCGAACCCTAATTGCTGTGTCCTCATATATTTCATAAGACTCCTTAGTACAAAAAATGAAAGTAGCCCGTGGAAAAGAGTAAAGTGCCCTCTTGAGAAATTGGTCAAATTTGTCTCATGGCTGCGGCCTCTGAAGATCTGACTTTCTGAAAGTTAGTATTCATTTCTGGGGAGAATTCTTCTTGGAGTGAGGAGATATTTCTGCTGGAGCTGTAGGTTTAAGGCTAAGCAGGGTGTTGCATGCTGGTCCCTGGCTTTTTGCATGTTCTTGATAGCAAGCTATTATGCATAAAATGGAAACATTAAGCCCCCCAAGCTATCTTTCTAAGAAAATTACCTGCTTACTGAAACAAATCTCGTTTCCTTTTACATGGAGCTTGTTTTCACAGCAGTGCCATACTGGCTTGAGTAAAATGACTGTTCTCACTGATTGATAACAAGACAAAGCTAGTTTAATTTATTATATCTGCTTGTTTATTGCCATCATATTCTAAAGATGACATTTATGTATCAGCTTTGATTTGAGCAAATAACTTTGACATTCAGCAACAAAAGGTCAATTCCTCAATTTTGCTTTGAAGTTTAGTGTTCTATTAGTCAAATACAAACTTTTTCTCACTTTACCTGTGCTCTGTTGTGTTCCACAGGATAGGAGTAACAGCGTGAAAGCAAAAAGAACTACACACATCTGATGAAGATGCACTCTTTGTTTTTTTCTGTTTTCTATCATCTACCCACTCTCCAAAGACCAAAAAGGAGACAAGGGATATTTCTATCTGATTTAATGAAGTGGAAAACTATCAATCCCCATTGTGTAGGTAAGAAAGCTGGGATGGTCTTTTTTTCTCTCTCTCTTTTCAGCTGTTTAATATTTTCTTTCACAGAAGATTCTTAGTTTGAATACCTCTTTCTTTATGCCTGCGTTCAAGAGTGCTTTGTATCTTGACTAATTAGAATGCTGTTGTAATTGCGTATTCATTTAATGCATTGCAAATATCATATTTCACTTTACTAAACACAGTAAAAAAAAAATCTAGGAAGAGCAGATGGTTTGGCATTCTGAGGGAGACAGACTGCAGAAGGATGCCGAGTTCATTCACAGTGTTGCCATGTTCAGTTCAAAAGATGCCTTGTTCATCCTAGTGAGGAGCGAGGGTGGACTGACAGTTTCACTCTTGACAATTCATTATGCACACATAATCACTTTGAGAGTCTTGCAATAGCTGAGATTCTTGATGGAAAGCTGAAGATTTCTGTAATGCCACTTAATGTGAGAATAGGTCACGAGCAGAGAGAGGTTAAGATAATAGATGGGAATCAACAAACATTCTTTGGACCAGAATGCTGTTTTAATTTTTGTGAGATAAAATTCTGGTCTGCTGTTGAAAAATCCTGATTTAAAGAATCTGGAATACTCGTTTCTAGACCAAAGGAGAACAGCTGAAAGGCTTGAGACAGAGAAGTGCCTTGCTATATGGTTGTATTTTGAGCATATTCCTAGGGATTCTGGGCCATCTGTAAGCTGACTTTGACTTTTTGCTCACTTGTATACAGTTCTAGAAAAAGAGATGTGGCTCTTCAGAGGAATGGATACTGTGCAAAGGAGACTTTTCGTGGAAGTTGTCATCTATATTTAATTAACTGACAGCTTATTCGTGATCTATTTTTGCAGTAGGAATTTAGGGATAGAAAGCTGCTGTTCACCTTTTGCTCTGATCAAGGTTTTCACTCTCAATATGACTCACCTCTTCTTTATAAAGGGAAAGAGTTCACTGGCTGGAGCGCCTACTGGTAAGTATGAGAGCATTGAAAATGCTGAGGATGGATGCAAGTGTTAATGGTTTCCCTTTGTTTCTCTTTGATGGCTCAGGCTATTTGTTGCCTGCCAGCTTTGCTTGCCTGTTTTCAGGTATTGCCAGCCTTCACTGAAAGGTGTAGAAAATGTTTCCTTTAGGAGGAGCAAAAAAAACCCAGACTCCGTGCTAACATAGTTCTATCCTGAATTAAACGTTCATATATTATCTTCCAAAGCCTCCTTGACTTACAAGGTTACAAACAGGGAGAATTAATTAAATGAACAGTTTCTCCTTTCTGCGAATGGCCCTTTTCCTAATTTATTAGACATTGTACAAACTACACTTTTAAGATAAAACCAGTGATTTCTTACTTTTCTGGTTACTCCTCTTTTTCACACACACAAAAAAATATTTGTACAATTTATGTCAAGTAAGGTATATGCTATTTTTCTATTTCACAGAAGTGAAACTTCAGTGAAAAGATACATTAAAATTATGGCTGAAATATTTAACAAAAGTACAGCTTATTTTGTTTTGCATTGTATGAAAGGAATTAGGCCCAAAGCCCAGCTCCTATGTCATCAGCTAGAGCTGTGCATGTGCATCCTTGAAGCAGAGGCAATTTCAGTTTCAAGAAAATGTTGTGGTATTTTGATAAAACTGAAGCCTCTGGTAACAAATGGCAGCAGAAGCATTGCCACGCATGGAAGGCACACAAAATCCAACTGTGGATGCTGCTTAGTGGTAGCCAGCTGGCTAATTAGCACAGATGTATTGGCTACTCCATCAGCAGATTTACAGCTTTCAATCACAAAACTGCGGTTGCTCAGAGTGAAGTGAAGAGGTGGAGGGGGAAAAGGAAGCTGTAGGTAAGAAATAGAGGCTGAAAAGACCCAATTTTATGGGAATCTGAGCTGTTATTAGAGCTTATTCTAATAATTTTGGATCAAGTCCTCAGTCATCCAGGACTTCATAGATCCAGGAGATGCTTGGCTATGGTTTGGATTCAGAGGTTACCAGATGATGGAATTCTGAGGGTAGGATGCTGATGTCAGAACACTGATCCCAATGCTTTCTCTCTTCTTCACGTAGTCTTCTACTTAGGTAGTTTTCTGACTTGAGGTTTTGATGTTGGATTTTTCAGTAATCTCCTATGTGCAGTATGCCAGTGACCTGAAAAAGATCTTTGTAATAGAAGCTTGAACTGCTCTTTCTGGTTTGTGAGTGTACTGTACTCTTGGATTATGATAAAGTGAGGAAATATATACATGCCATACTTTAAGTTCTTCATGAAGTGACTAGTTTCCTTAAGGTTTTGCTCAGCTTCATGCTGTGAAGCTTCTCCTTTTGTTAAGGAGGAACAAAGCTTTTTGTATGTTTACTGAAACATAAATAATCTCATACTTGGCTAGGAACAAAATGATTTAGATTACAGAGATTTCTAAGGAGATTTCATCCCAGGTCATCATGATGTGAAATTTAGGAGGTGCTTAAAGTATATCTGAAGGTGACCCAGAAAGCATCTCTGTTTGATTTGGAGGCCTAGCTTGTCTATTTATTACTTCTGATTTGTATGTTTATTGATCTCTTGACACACACGCTTCCCTTGACAGCAATATTGGAAATGAATGGGCATTAATACACGTGTATTTTTTGGAGGACACCGCTGGCACGATTAGTTGTGGTGAAGGTGGTGAAAATGAAGTAAAAGAAAAGGAAAAAGGAAAAAGGAAAAAAAAAAATCTCATCCCCAGCAGAGGTAGGTGATATTTGGCCATTTGAGACTTTTGGGAGGAGGCTGTATAGTAGATACTGAAGGGTAATACATTTGTAATGTGTAGCCATTGTGGCTGGAGGCATAAATATTCAGTACCTGTTACTACCTGATAAAGTCATACATATGTATAGGTATATTTCATGTGATAATTGGAGAATCTATTTTTGCATCTGCTTTTACCTGATAAACTAATGTGTTTTGTTTTTTTTTAATTTAAATAAGAGAAAAGCAATAATTCTGAAGCCGTGGGCACCAGGAGTATGTAAGACAAAGCTGTCCAAGAGGAGGGAGGACAGGAGGACAACATTTTAGATACACTTGCACTGGTATGCAGGAGGCTGAGCAAACAAGAATTACATGTGTTTGTTTTTTTTTATATGGCTTGTTAGAAATATTTCTGACTGCTTTCAGAAAGTGTTTGTGAACGCTTAAACTAAGTTTACTTTCAAGTAAAATGAACTTACAAACAAATCTGGATATACTGTGTATGTCTGTTTTTGGGACTGATTCTAAATAGGAGTGTTCAGCAGGATGGATGATTTCTATTATTATTACTATTTTATTGTTTTTAGCGCACATACAGCAAAGGATTTGACTAATGTGTTTTGAAAGCTGGTTATTGCAGTGGTCAGATAACAGCTAATAAGTGAATTATAAGAAAAGTGAACTTAGTGTTGAACATGTGGTGAGGACATGGCAAATATACTTGATGGCTGTAGGTTAAGATCAGAATTTTAAGTTGAACAGAACCAAATATGGACTGTATATTTAAGGACAGGAAACTCAGCATTCACCTTCAGGTTTAAGAATTCCATCCAGCAGTGATCTTGAAACTGTTAAGGATTTACTGGATACCTGTGCTTGTACCTTAGTTTGTATGAAGAGTGTGTTTTTTGCAACCATTTTCCCATTAATTTGTTTTCTGGAGTGGTCCTGCAGCACATGCAGTGCGTTCAGTGGAGCTGGTCTTGTTTCCAAGGAGTACAAAAAGGAATTGATGTGCTCCTTTGGATACATAAACACAGTCTGCAGGATGAGAGATCATTCTGAAAATAAGTATGGATTTATTTGCTGTTATGTGTCCAAGGTAGCACATACAGTTCAGTTATCCACATTTTCAAAAGGTGACAGACAATGTAAACATAAACTACAAAGCTAATTCTAAAATACATCTTAGGGCAAGATATAGAGCCATCTCTTTCTTTAGGGATGTGGTTAAGGCTTTATTATTGTCAGTAAGAATCTTAAAGAAAACTATTATGTGAACCACAGGGCTGGAAGATATTTTTATGTGTACAAACTGGTAATATGCACTACTTTTTTTTTTTTTTTAGTCGTGAAAATTACTGGAATAAACTTTCTTGGGAAGAAATGAATTTTCCATATATTGATGTTCTCAGTTCAAGACAGAATGCCTTCCTGGAGGATGGACTCCTGCTGATCACAAATTGTATGTCCTGCTGCAGGGAGGTATGTGATATGCAATAGGTCAAACTAAGCAATATCACACTGATAGGGCTTTTGGACCCTGAAATCTATGAATCTGGGTTATCACATTTATGTATGCCAATCTCTTACATACTTGGAACCTCATTTTGAGCCACTTGACGACTGTGAGTTACCTGACACCTACAGCATTCAGTTTCTAGTATGCTCTTATTTCTGGAAACGGTATCACTCTATCCCTCACGCTCTCAAGCACTTCTTCTAGTCATTACATTCAAAAAGATAAGGTATTCTCTAAACAAAAGAGAACAGTGCTCTTTTGATGGGTGCTGGTATAATATAACCTTATTCATCAGACATACTGCTTGCAGCTTCTTCCAGAGAGCCTGGCAAAGGCGTGAGCTGTGGAGAAAAAAACGTGGTTGCAAGGAGAGATGATGATTCCCACAGCTGAATTTGTCATTCTGTTTTGTCTCTGACTGTTTTCAGAACCATGTAAAATTTTAATCTTCTCTGCTGGAATCTGTCATAGGAGTTTTATTTTATTTCTTTTGAGGGAATGAGAGTAGGTACAGTAGCCAGTATTTCCAATAACAGTAATAAGTAAGGTTTAGTGACTTGGGGATGCAAACCTGTAGCTGTTGGTAATCTACAGAGGAAAACGGGGAGTACAGAGAAACCCGAACAGTCCAGATTTTCAAAACAATAAATAAGAAATGATTTTACTCAAAAACAGTCCATTAAATGCGTAACTGGAAAAACTCAGTTCAAATGTGACTCAGAAATAGACATGGTATGTGAATATATGCTGTAGGTGAATGTTCAGATAAAATTAAAAAAAAAACCACCAAATTTTAAACGCAGGAGTTATGATTATTTTGAAGACTGTTAACAAGAAATTAACTCATTAGGGCTAAAAGGATATATGCTTAAAGGACGTTTTAGAAAGTTTGTTGATAGAGACCCACACATGGGGACATCCTCGGTGCTGGAGTGACATGACGTGATTTTGAGTTGAATCCTGATTTCACTGCTTTTTATCATGAAAAAAGAGTCTTAATCTATGTGATGTCATCAGATATACTGTGACTTTATTTTAATCCAAATGATCTACAAGGCTGCTGTCCAGGCTTGTAGAGAGAGGACTAGGAAAGCCGAGGGGAAGATGGAAGTGAACTTGGCTAGGGATGTTGAAAACAACAAGAAAGAACTTTATGGGTACATTGGCCAGAAGAGGCAGGCCAAAGAGAGCATGCCTCCTTTGGTAAATGAGAAAGGAGAAGTGGCTACGGCAGATATGGAGAAGGTGGAGGTACTAAATGAGTTTTTTGCCTTGGTCTTCACTAGCAGCCAGGATTCTCATATATGTCTCATGTCCCTGAAGCTCACATCCCTGAGCCTCTAGGTTGGAACCGAGGGAGCAAATCCCCCTTGCTGTAAGGGCAGAGCAAGTCTGAGACTGCCTCATGAGACTGAATGTGTACAAGTTTATGGGTGTGGATGACACGCATCATCCCAGAGTCCTAAAGCAGCTGGCTGATGTTGTGGCTGAGCTGCTCTCCATTGTATTTGAAAAGTCGCAGCTGTTGGGTGAAGTTCCCTGGGACAAAAAAAAAAAAAAAAAAAAAAAAAAAAAAAGGTAACATTGGTCCCATTTTCAAGAAAGGAAAGAAGGAGGATCCAGATAACTACAGGCTGGTGAGCCTCACCTCTGTGCTTGGGAAGATCATGGAACAGATACTCCTACAAAACATGTTAAGGCACATGAGTGATGAGTGGGTGATAAGAGACAGGCAGCATGGCTTTACCAAGGGGAGGTCATGCCTGACCGATCTGGTGGCCTTCTGTGGTGGAGTGATAACATCGGTGGGCAAAGGGAAGGCAACTGATGTCATTTACCTGGGCTTGTGCGAGGCCTTTGACAGGATCATCCACCATATCCTTATCTCCAAATTGGAGAGAGAGAGATCTGAGGGGTGGACTATTCAGTGGATGAGGAATTGGTTGGAAGGCCGTAGACAGAGGGTTGTGGTGAATGGCACTGTGTCCAGATGGAGGCCAGTGATTAGCGGTGTCTCCCAGAGGTCTGTCTTGGGAGCAGTGCTCTTCAACATCTTCATCAGTAACACTGATGATGGACTCAGGCATCTCAGCAAGTTTACTGATGGCACCAAGCTGAGTGGTGCAGCTGACATGTTAGAAGGAAGGGATGCCATCCAGAGGGACCTCAGCAAAGTCAAGTGGTGGGCCTGTGTGAATCTAATGACATTCAACATAGCAAAGTGCAAGGTTTTGCACTTGGGTCAGAGTAATCCCAGATACATATACAGGCTAGGAGAAGGAACTCTTTGAGAGCAGCCCTGGGGAGATGGACCCGGGGGTCCTGGTGGATGAAAAACTGAACATGAGCCAGCAGTGTGCTCTTGCAGCTTGGAAGGTCAGTAGTATCCCGGGCTCCATCAGAAGAGGGGTGGCCAGCAGAGGCAGGGAGGCAACTGTCCCTCTCTGCTCTGCCCTCGTGAGGCCCCTTCTGGTCTATTACTGGATCTAGAGGTTGGTGGCCCTGCCTGTGGCAGGGGGATTGGAACTTGATGATCCTTGGGGTCCCTTCCATCCCAAGACATTCTACGATTCTATGATCTTGTAAGCATAGCCTACATTATGAGCAATCTCATTTGCCTGATCTTTGCCTGTGGGAAGGTTTCTCTGTTCCCCACCTTCACTTGTATTGAGGATCACCCATGTTTACCTCATCTGACTTCCTGGACATCTAACTGAAAGTAGTCTGAATTAAGCTGCTTGTGCCGCAAACTGAGCCTTGTGTTATGCTAAATTGGTATCTATCTTTTTATATCTCTGGTATCTATCAAGTATTGTATGCCAAATTACCTTATACTAACTAAATACTTACCTTATACTATCTAAATACAATACTTACTGCTGTGTAAAGCACTTATGAGTAAATTAGAAGTTTACACCTTTCCTGAAAACTGCAAGCATTCTTGTAATGGATGTTAAACCCAACAGTAGAAAAATCTTTCAGGGACATTAGCTTCAAGTCAGTATCGTTCCCAGAAGATTTAGGCTTGCTTTCCTCCACAGATTTATGTAAATTAAGATATGATATCTGTGTCAAGGAAGTTATATAGGATAAAATGGGAGTTTTTGCACGTGTTGATGGAAGGTTGAAAATTAAAATTCAGTGCTGAAGTGCTTTCTTAACATCTGTACCAGTGACACGGTTTGTTGTTTGTGTCCTGCAAATTAATAGCATCAAGGCCAGTTGCCTGGAGACAGCATAAGTATTTCTGTGTTTAGAAATTAAAGCAACTCTGGGAATTATATGAAAAATATGTTTGTTTGAGTAGGGACATAGGGAATTAAATGCACTTAATTTAAGGACATTTTAATAGGCAAACCCATTTTATGTGTTTGTATCTGTTACAGAAGCCATCTCATAAAGCTGCTCATTCTTATTTTCTCAACTAAATACATTTTCAACATAAAACCTATACAATGAGTGGGAATAAATTTGGCCAGGAGACTGTGGCTTATGTGATATGTACATATACATGTTTTAATTCCAGTTGGCTCTCTCCAGATTTACTCACTAAGCAAATATGCTTCTCTCCTGACTCAGTTATTGTAACTCAGAGAAATGGGATCCTGGGCTCCATCAGGAGAGGGGTGGTCAGCAGGGACAGGGAGGTGATTGTCCCTCTCTACTCGGCTCTTGTGAGGCCCCACCTGGAGTGCTGTGTCCAGGTGTGGAGCCCTCAGTACAAGAAAGACATTGAGATTTTGGAAAGGGTCCAGAGGAGGGCGACTAAGATGATCAGGGGGCTGGAGCACCTCCCCTATGAGGACAGGCTGAGGGAGC